TCTCTCTCTCTCTCTCTCTCTCTCTCTCTCGCTCTCTCTCTCTCGTCTATCTATATAACATAGGAAGGATAAGTAATCCCAAGGAGATGGCAATGGGACCGACAGTTCTGGGGCGACATTTGCGAGGAGGAGGTGGGTGAGGGGAGCAATGAGCCAGGAGAAGAGGAGAGCCAGGGACAGGAGAAGAGCAAGGGATCTCAAATTGATCTAAAATAGCAAGGAGGGGATAGATTTCATGGTTGTATTTGATCAATTGAAATGTGTATGAGAGAAATTACTGAGAGGTGAACAATGGGTAAACACGATCGTGGGGCATGAGGAATGGAAAAAGAAAAAGAGGAAAGAACAAGAAAGTAAAAATTATATATGTAGGGATAGATAGATAGATAGATAGATAGATAGATAGATAGATAGATAGATAGATAGATAGATAGATAGATGTACTTATCTATGTTCTATTTGAGGGGTACCCACACAGAAACGGAACTCTTTTTTCAAAGCTATATTTAAATCTTTTTTTACAAAAAACCCTTATCCCCTTCAAAGTACTCTTCATTACACTTAATGCATTTGTCAAGCCTGCTTTTCCATTCTTGGAAACATTTTTCAAATTCATCTGTTTGGATGACTGTCAGCACCTCCCTCTTTTTGTTCTTCATCTCTTCTATGTCATCTAATTGCTGTCCTTTCATGTCCCTCTTCATTCACGGAAACAAAAAGAAGTCAAACAGAGAGAGATCAGATGAGTCAGGTTCGTGGGGCAAGAAAGGAATGCTTTCTTTGGTCAAAAACTGATGCAATGAGCTGGCTGCATGAGCAGGTGCATTGTCATGTTGGCAAAACCAGTCTCCCATCTGCCACAAATCAGGCCTTTTTGGTCGCAGTGTAATACAATCTTTTCAGACTCTCTATAAATAGAAAGCTTGACAAACAGTTTAACCTATTGGAATGGACTCCAAATATACTATGAGTCAACATTTTCATCCATAAGGAAGTTGATGGACCGCCAGGACAAGGTTTGTCATCTTTCAACATTTCACCTTTTTTGAAGTGAGAAAACCACTCATCCACTGGAGTTTTTCCCATAGCACTGGCCTTGTAGGCTGTGTTCAACATCACAATAATTTCAGGGTTGTTTATTTTTTCCTGAGCAGGAAACAAAATTTCACAGCCACTCACTCTTGCTGTTTCTGAAATTGGTCATCACAAAAAATGGGGTTTGAAGAAATCGCTTTTATGAGAAGATTCATTGTGAGCAGAAAGTACCATCCCAGGTGATGTTAACAGATCCATCAACTCAGAGCGAGTTGCTCTTTTCTCACCGTGAAAAATGTATACTACAAAAATTGTATGATACTGACCTTCCCAGCAGGATTGCTGAATCCAAAATGGGTGCATAAGCAAATATGGTGAAGAAGGCTGATGGTGCCCAGCTATTAAAAAGATATAGTGCCTGGGGTCTTAAAGGCTTGAAGTTAAACAAGTGGCCATCTAACAGGGAAGCAACAAAGTCCACATGGCAGAAGCACACCAGCCTGTGTGATCACGAGGTATCGATGGGAATAGGTAACAGAAGTTCAAAAACAAACCATCAAAATTGACGTGAAGGAGTACAAACAAAGTGGAGACCCAAAACTCACCTGTAAGATAAATGGGCAGAAGGGCCACAACAAAGGGGTGATATATCCAGGGTGCAGTATAGAACTGATAAAACACAGAACTAAACTCTAGTTCTTTAATATTTCCTCCCATTACTATTATGGCCTTAGTTTTAACTCATTAATCGTGTTATACCTGCATGTGTTCATTTGAATAATTAAGATCATAAGATGCATGAAATCCAAGATAGATAAACCTTTCAGAAATAGTAACGGGATTAATGGTTCCCTGAGATTACGGAAAGAGTGGGTGGCATGGGGGGGAATGGGGAACTGATAGCAACACAATAACTACATAATCTCACTAAAGAGAAACGAATAACAGAATTGTAGGTGAATGGATACATAGGATGGTGTAAGATAGGCCAATAAATTAAAAAATAATATATAAGAACAAGAGTTCCTGGAGGGTAGGTTGGTGGAGGGATGGGATAAAGAGGAGCTGATATTAAAGAGCTCATGAAGAAAGAAAATCTCTTGAAAATGAGGTCGGCAGCAATTGTACAATTATGCTTGATCTAATTGAACTATGGATTGTTATAATATCTGTAAGAGCTCCCAATAAAATGGAAAACAAACAAACAAAAAACAGGAGGCAGCAGAAATCATGTGAAAATCCTTTACTAAACAAGGAAGAGCAACGAATGCCCAAGGCAAGCAACAATAAAGCACTGTCCCACAGGATCAATGGCCTTCTAGACCATTCCAGCCCAAAGGATTAGGACTTCTAGACCCCAAAACTGTAAGACAGTAAATTCTTATTTTTTATGGCCACCCCCTTGTGGCATTAGTGTTATGGGTGCACTGAGAAAATGCTAATTAATTCTTCTAACAATAGAGTCAACACAAATTTTCTTCTCAAGCTGAGGGAGATGGAGAAAGAGACAGGTCATCACTTCATTCTCTGGGATTCCAGAGACAACAACTGTGGTAGTCATCTAATCTGGTGTCAATTTAAGGATTAAGACTATAGGGGTGA